GTTATTGCCCCAAAGGAAACAGCTGAAAGCAGTGCTGTGGGTGTTCCATCTTCCCGTGTCAGAATGCTGAATGCTTTTAATTGAATCTAGTGTGAAAGCAGCTGAAGAGAAACACCTTTCATGTTAGAAAATATGCCATTATGTCAGTTTTCTGGAAGTCTTGTGGAAAAGAAATGGAAATGCAAACTCTCAGCTACTTTGATAATTATTATATAACACATTCGATACATTTGAACTGAATTGCTAAAAATGCATCTTGAATTGATATGAGAAACTGAAACTGATTCAGTTTGTATGGAGAAATAAGAATCAAAATAACTGTTTACAAAACATAAATTAAGTCACAAGTGTACACAAATAAGGTCATTGAATATTGAGCTAATTGCTTTGAAAAAAAGTTCATACTAAATGTGATATTTGCCAAACATAGAGGATTTAGTTAGGCAATTAGAACTGACAGAAAATGACTGAACTAATTAAACTAGAGCTCTGTAAGCAATTTATCTCATTAAATGTTTTACAGTTATACATCTGCATCAAAGTTATTTTGTGTTTAGTTTAAATAATAATAAAGGAGGGAAAATCAAGGTTAATTGGCATTTTAATAATGAGCATCTCAATTAAAATTATCTTATCTACAGAAAAGACTTCCTTGCAAATAATTACAACATGCTCTCTATTTATTCTGCAGTTTGAAGAACAGATTGAAAGCAAATTTGATAGATTACTTCAGTGTGAGTTCCATCATGTGTATCGATGGAAGTATACAATCCACTTTTATTATTAACCTCTTATCACCTCCATAATTGTTGTTAGTGGTGAAGACTGCTCTCATGCAATTTATAAAGACAGCTGTGTGATTCTGGATGGATATTCCACTGGATGGGAGAAAAATCCACTATCTCTGCATGAAAACTAAGTGAAGATAGTGAAAGATTAGGCTACAGATGTGCAGAACAACTTTCTAAACTTGCTTAAACAGATTGGGTCACAGTCTTGATTGACCTTGTGACTTGCCATGACAGTTGTCAAAGATGATGATCTAAAGTTCCTTTCCAACCCTAACCATTCTATGATTCTATGATTCTATGTTTTGGGTCAGATGCAAAATGCATATTTTGATACATTCTCATTTTCTGTGAAAACAATGCTTGCTTTTCAGTATTATCTGGTTGGCCATGTATTATGGGCAATAATGCAGACATAAGCCAGACACCAGCTCTGGTATCTGTTGGGTGCAGAACATACTTCAGCAGCTTGCCAGGTAGATTTCCACTGCTCCATATGATTAACAACTGGAGAAAAAAAAACAAACAGTCAAGATCCTGGTATACAAAATGGACTCAGATTTGTGTCATATCTTCTAGGTGGCTGATGATTTCATTTCTGTGCTTTTCCCTTCTACTACTGTATCTTATGATACAGAGAAAACTCCAGGAACAAACTTGCCAACAAAGTTTTCAAGCTGACAAGCAGGTATTCTTTATTGCGGCGCCGGGAGACATGGGGGATAGCCCCTCCTAACGTGTGTCTCCCCACTTGCCACACAAGCCGTCCTCTTATAGCCGCCGGGCATACATACATATTCATGAGGCTATGTATGGATTACATCGTTTTCCAGAGAGTTCCTCACATGTGTACAGAATTGTGGTGGTGGTCTCTGAGGGTCGTTTACTTCCTCCAACAATCTTCATCACTTCTGACAGCCTTTGAAGCACACGCAGTAGATGCTCATACCAGTTTAATTGGTTCATTAGCACCAGAAACATAATAATGCTCCTATCCACCTTCTTATCAGTTAGTTTAACTGTAGCCCATCCTGGTCACCTGCAGTTCCCAGATACTCCCCATCCTGTGTCCTGTTCTTCTAAACTGTTTTTTCTTAAAACTATGTCAAGTATAACAATTTATCTTGTGAGAATTCTCAGTATGTTCTCTAGCTGCACTCTATTTTTCTATGTATCATGCACCTCAGTAATTTTCCATTGCTACTGTTACAAAGCCTTCAAACTTAACATTACTTAAAACTAATTCTAAAGATTTCTATATTCTATTTTGTGATTTTGTGCCCTCCCTTTGTCTCAAATTCCCCCCTTTTCCTATCCTTTTGCAAATTCTTTTGCCACCTTTTTTCATATATTCCCATTACCATCAAAAGTCTTTTTGAAATAACTTCCCGTTTCTACTTGGTGCTTAATTTCATTCCTTTTCCAACCTTCATAATTTATCATAGACTGTTTACAACACCAGAGGGAACATTGTATCATACCACAAGTAATCAATATCAAAATAAGTAACATCAATATTCCTGCAACCAGTTGCCTCAACCAGTAGAGATTGGGTAACCAAGAAGTTAACTTTTTCCATATTTCTTCAAAACCCCAGGAGGTGTCATCCATGGTCATTTCATGAAATATCTTAGTTTGTTTCCAAATTTCCTCCAGATCTGTTTCCATTCTGCCACTTTGATCTATATAGGAACAACAGCTTTCATTGGTTATGGAACAAACCCCTCCTTGTGATGCTAGTAACATGTCTAGAGCCATTCGGTTCTGTGATACCACTTTAGACAGGCTGGTTATCTCTTATTGTTCTGCCTGAATTATATCAATGTTTTTACTTTCCATTTCCTCTATGGTTGCTGAGATATTTACAATTGCCTTTTCTAATTCACTTACTCCCAAAGATGGAATTAGCCCTCTTACAAAACTATGAAATGCGCTGTGCCGCTCAATAATACAGTTAAACCCTCACTTAATCCATCTAGCAAAACTTCTAATCCAGGTCCCGGAAGGATACCTGTCGATAATGGTAAAATTGGGTATTACAGCACCTAAGGTGCATGCCCCCTTCTAGTTGGGGGGTAGAGTCTTATAAGCATTTTTTCCACATAACCAATACCATCCTTTCCCTTGAGGAACAGGCCACCACTGAACTATGATACCATCTATATTAATAGTATGATTACAATTTGAATGGTGACCTACATCTGTGGCATTTAAAGAAACAAAATATCCTACCCTGGTTCCTGGTGTAATACATCTTTGTGCACAGGTGTAATATTTATTACCTGGACTAGGATTAACTATTCCAAATTTTAACCTTTCCTTCGAATACAGATTGCTAGTGTTCACCCACAAATCTGTCCATGAGACAGTGTTAGGAATTGGAACTCCAATTAATGGGAGATCCAGGCTTTCTCCTGATTTAGGCAACTGTGCACACACCCAACAGTCACTACGATTAAAGACATAGTAACATTCTGTGCTAATTTCAGGTATAAATTCTGGTCCCAAGCTTGTGCGCCAGTTGTCATATGAGTCCAAATTATGACCAATGCAATTTCATACGTAACGGTCCTGAAGGCTTGATCCGCCATGTTTTCTCTGGCTCTGGTGCTTTCTTGAATAATGTATCCAAGCAGGTTGTTCCTTTATCTTCACTGCTGTAAAGGTGGTCAGTAATATCTGGTACGGTCCCCTCCACTTCTGTAGAGGATCTCCTGAAAAACTCTTAACATAAACCCAGTCTCCAGATCTGAAAGGGTGAATCGGATAATCCAAACCTCTTGCTCTTGTCCCTACTATTCCCTTATTTATCTCCTCCAATTGTTTTCCCAGATTGATCAGAAACTGTCGGAGATAGCCTTATACCACTTCCTGAAGACTTTCTCCTTTAAACTGGGACTGATATGGTCTTCCATACAAAATCTCAAATGGGCCAACCTCTTCTTTCAACCGAGGTTTAGTTCGAATTCTTAACAGAGCCAGAGGTAACGATTGTACCAATATAAGTTCGTTTCCTGACATATTTTACTAGTCTGTTGTTTGATCAGACGGTTCATCTTTTCTACTTGCCCACTGGCCTGAAGCCTGTATGGAACATGTAGTTGCAAATGAATTTCTTATTTTTTGCTAATTTCTTGTAACAACTTTGCACTGAAGTGTGAACCCAGTGTGAAGAAATTGCCACTGGTGCTCCAAAATGAGGTATTATTTCATTTAATAATGTTTTAATCACCTGCCTTGCATTATTTATCCTACAGAGGAATGCTTCTGGCCAGCCTGAAAAAGTATCCGTTAGCACCAACAAATATCGATAACCCCCTTTTCTTGGTCATTCAGAAAAGTCTATTTGCCATTGCTGTCCCAGGTAACTTCCTCTCCCAATTGTCCCAGTTTGATTTCTATTTTCAGATTTAGGATTATTCTTAAGACATAACTGACTGTTTTATCACTAATTGAACTGTGGTGTATAGAGTCCTTCCTACAATTTGTTTGTCTAAATATTTATACAAAGAGTTGCCACCCCAGTGAGTTTTATTATGTTCTTCCTGAACTAACTTCCAGAGTTGGTTATAGGGGACTACAATTCACCCATCAGGTATTTGAGCCCAATCCTCTTTCTTTTCCTGTCCCTGTAGATCCTCAATCAATTTTCTATCCTCTTTTGAATACCTAGGTTTAGATTTTTCAATTGTTAGTTTGCCATCAGGAATTAAGGACATGATTTGAGATTGTTCATGTGCTCATTTGGCTTCAAAATCAGCCAAATTATTTCCAATTTCCTGATCAGAGTCACCTTGTTCATGTCCTCTACAGTACATAATAGCTACTTGTTCAGGTAGCTGAACAGCTTCCAGTAATCATAGAATTTCTGTAGCATGTTTAATCTGTTTCCCTTGTGTGTTCAAAAGTCCTCGTTCTTTCCAGGTAGCACCATGTGCATGTACCACACCAAATGCATATTTAGAATAAGTCCAAATATTTATCCTTTTATCTTTAGCCAATTCCAGGGTTCTCATTAATGCTATTATTTCTGCCTTCTGGGCAAAGGTGTTCACAGGTAAAGGTTTAGCTTCTATTACCTGTGAAGTGATGGCAATGCCTTTCGTTTACCACTTTTCCTGAAGCTACTACCATCAGTAAACCAAGAATCAGCATTTTCCAGAGGTTTTTCTTTCAAATCTGGTCGGCTCAAATATAGTCTCTATAGTGGTCAAGCAGTTGTGTGTTGGTGGTTCTGTCGATGGTTCCTGCAAAAAGGATGCTGGATTCACAACGTTAGTGACCACAATTCTATATCATCCTGTTCTACAATGGTGGCCTGGTATTTTAAAAAACTGTGAAGGACATAACCAGTGGGCTCCTTTCTGTTCCAGGACTGCTGATACCACATGGGACACTAGCACAGTAATCTTTTGTCCCAAGGTGAATTTGCGAGCCTCTTCAATATTCATAACGACTGCTGCCACATCCCTTAGGCATCTGGGCCATCTTTTGCTCACTTCATTCAGCTATTTTGAAAAATACGCCAGTGCCCTTCTGTATGGTCCTAGTTTCTGAGCAAGGACCCCCAAGGCTATTCCTTGTTTTTCATAGGAATATAGCCAAAACGGTTTAGTCACATCCGGAAGTCCCAGAGCTGGAGCTCTCATTAACTCTATCTTTAAATTTCTAAAAGCCTCCTCTGCTTTATCAGTCCAGTCCAAAGAGGGAGGGTTTCCCTTCAGCAGTTCGTATAGTGGTCTTACCAGAACACCATAATCATGGGTCCAAAGTCTGCACCATCCTGTCATTCCCAGGAATGTCCGGAGCTCCTTGACAGTCGATGGTCGTGGAGTCTGGCAAATGGCTTCTTTTCTGGCAGTTCCAAGTTCTCTCTGTCCTCCTGTTATTTCATATCCTAGGTAGGAAACTCGGGTTTGGATTAGTTGGGCCTTTTGTCTGGATACCCGATAACCATTCAGTCCCAGAAATTCAATAGTCCCACCATTCACTGGACACATTCTTCCTTTGTTTCTGTAGCATTTAACAGGTCATCCACATATTGTAACAGAGTCCCCGTCTGAGCAGGTGGCTTTCATAATTCTAATTCTCGTGCTAACTGATTTCCAAAAAATTGCTGGACTGTTTTTAAACCCCTGTGGTAATACTGTCCAAGTTAATTGAGTTTTTCTTCCTGCGTCAGGATTTTCTCATTCGAAAGCAAATAATTTTGGCTTTCTTTGGCCAATGGTAAGCAAAAGGAAGTGTCCTTTAAATCCAGGACGGCAAACCATTTCTGATTATTATTCAATTTAGTCAATAAATCATACGAATTAGCTACTACTGGACAAATATCCTCTGCAATTTTGTTGATTACCCTGAGATTGTAAATCAATCTGCAACTTTTCCTATCATATTTCTTTACTGTCCAGATACGAGTATTATATTCCAATTCACATTCAATTAATAATCTATATTTTAAAATGTATCAATTTTTTTTTTCATTCCCTTTGATCTTCTAATTTTAAGGGATATTGTTTTATTCTGATTGGGCAGGGCTCCCTTTTTTATTTCCACTTTAACAGGCAAAGCGTTTTTTTGCCTTACCTGGAACTTCAGATGCCCATACTCCCACATACACCTAATTAAGGATTTCTTCTATTTCAGGGAGGTCCTTCTTTTTGCTTTTCTGTTGAATTAAAGATAAACTCAAAAACTGCAATTAATTGACTGTTTTTAACTCTAAATTCCATTTTGCCTTCTTTAAATGTTGCTTCTTGCCCTAATAAAGATTTTAGAGAATTTGGCATTCATAAAAATTTATGCATTCTTATTTGTTTTCCCAATTTGTACTTTAAAGGTTTCAGATAGAATGCCTTTTTTTTTTTTTTTTCCTGCTTGTTCTTGGTGGCCAGTAGCTCCCACATCTGTAACGAATTCTTTCCTTTCTAACACCAAATAAGTTGCTCCTGTATCCACTAAAATTCCTCTTTATTTCCTCTAGTTCCTCATTTTAATTTAACCAGTGGATCTGCTAGGGTAGATTCCCCAGGTCCCTGTCAGTCCAGTTCCAATTCAGTCACCGGAGCCACCGCATGGCACTGCCCCCCCCCCCCCCCCCCCGGGCAGTCTCACTTCCAACGTCCAAACTCCCCATAGCACGCACACCGATCCGGTTCCACAGAATAGCTCACTCCCCCAACCTCTGCCCGTCGTCACTCCTCCATGCTCAAACACAGGAGCTGCCCGAGCTCCCCCCCTTTCCCCCTCGGTTTTCCCTTTTTTTTTGTTTTCCACAGGTGCTCACCCTGCTCTGCAGGGGCTGCAGATAACTGCCTCTGCAACAGCACTTCTGGTTTAACCCCTTCTTAAGTCTGAATGTGAATGTGCCGCTTGTTGCCAGTGACAGCAATCTCTTCCACCTTATCAATATCAAATAGGACGAATACAGAGGGTGATCCTCTCGGAGGTACCCGTGATACATAATTTTCAACCTATCTTCCTGATTACTGTTTTTTTAACTTTAAACATCTTTCCCCAATATCACAGGCTGAACAACATCTCTTCAGCTTAACTTTCAGTTTTTCCCTGTCCTTTTCCAAGGGCAAAATTAAGGAATCTGGCAGAGCTATATTAATTTTGCATTCAGTCTGTCACTCCGCCTGATTTCTTAAAGTGAAAAACATATCTGCATACATTACTTCATGCCATTTTCCTTGCCCCCTCAAAACAACATTAATTGTAACAATGTATTATAGTTCAGAGTTCCATTTTTAGGCCATTTTTCCTGATCTTCCAAAGTATACAAAGGCCACCATCGGTTAAAACATATTACCAATATTTTCTTATTTACCAAGCCCCCAGGAGACTCTCCAAGTTCTTTCCAGTGTGTCAAAATGCACCCAAAAGACTCTTTTTCAAGATGTCTTCACTCTGCTGATTTTCCATTATCAATCTCACATTCACACACACACATACACAAACGGGATCCCACAGACACACTCCACACAGTTACAAAACTTGAGACAAAGACAGAGACTAAAATTCAACCAAATAACCAACAGTTAATAACACAGTTTTAACATCCTGTCACCAGTACCAAAATCATTACTGTAAAAAGCCACAAAATAAGACGAATACCAGTAGAATCAAAAGCAATACATCCTAACACCTATGGCTCAGACCATATTGTAACATTAATAGGGGGGTTTCCTTGAACCCTTTATAGTTGACCAGCCTGCCAGTATCCCAAGAAGGACGAGACCCTTGTGCCCGACCAGCCTGTCTGCATCCCACTGTGGGACGTACTGGACAGCCCACTGTACCAGAGGGTGATTCAACTAACCTATTCAGGGACCCAGGCTGATAGCATCACTGAATCAAATCCCTTATGGGCTGTTGATAGCACACTGGACACAAAATCATTTCCACAAGACACCCCCTGCATCTTGCAGGACCCAAACCACAAGAAGCCCCCAGCTTCTTATGGGTGTATGCCAGTAAAATCCAAAACCATTTCCACAAGATACCCCCTGTGTCTTGCAGGACCCAAACCTCAAGAAGCCCCTTGCTTCTTGTGGGTGAATACCAAACAGAAGCTAGCAGCCAGGTATACGCTTTTACCTACGAGATTTCCTATCTCAACCTACGGAAGGCTTCCAAACCATGTGTACGCTTACCAAACCAATTTACCAAACCGAGATGCCCCCTGCATCTTACAAACTATATAAAAGAAGAGAATACCTTTTATGAGATGGTCCTTGTCTGCTCCCACAGTGATCTGAATGAGTCGAGGGGTCCCTCCGGCAAAAATTCCCGAGGGCCCTAGGGAGCCCTGTCCTCAGCGGGTCCTGCAGCCGAGCAGAGAGGGTCCCATCTGGGGTGCCAAAATGATACGGAGAAAACTCCAGGAACAAACTCGCCAACAAAGTTTTCAAGCTGACAAGCAGGTATTCTTTATTGCGGCACCGGGAGGCATGGGGGATAGCCCCTCCTAACGTGTGTCTCCCCACTTGCCACACAAGCCGTCCTCTTATAGCCGCCGGGCATACATACATATTCATGAGGCTACGTATGGATTACGTCGTTTTCCAGAGAGTTCCTCACATGCGTACAGAATTGTGGTGGTGGTCTCTGAGGGTCGTTTACTTCCTCCAACAATCTTCATCACTTCTGGCAGCCTTTGAAGCACACGCAGTAGATGCTCATACCAGTTTAATTGGTTCATTAGCACCAGAAACATAATAATGCTCCTATCCTCCTACTTATCAGTTAGTTTAACCGTAGCCCATCCTGGTCACCTGCAGTTCCCAGATACTCCCCATCCTGTGTCCTGTTCTTCTAAACTGTTTTTTCTTAAAACTATGTCAAGTATAACAATTTATCTTGTGAGAATTCTCAGTATGTTCTCTAGCTGCACTCTATTATGTATCATGCACCTCAGTAATTTTCCATTGCTACTGTTACAAAGCCTTCAAACTTAACATTACTTAAAACTAATTCTAAAGATTTCTATATTCTATTTTATGATTTTGTGCCCCCCCCTTTGTCTCACTTATAAACACACCTACCTCCTCAAGCCTTTTTCTAAAACTATAGGGATGGGAATGAAGGAGGGAATCCTTCTAAATTTCACTTTTTCACTCAAGAATATCCCACTCTAAACAGTGCAGGAAATTGTTTAATACACAAAAACCAATGAAAACTGTAATCCACATCAGTTGTCCATCTTTCCAGTTTTCTGCCAATACCGCTCATACTTTGGTTTCTTTTTTTCATTATCTTCCTCTATGAAGCCAAGACTGCATCTTCAAATATCGATCATTAGGAGACTACTGTAAAAGAAGCAAAATATTGGTGAGCAAGCATTTATAAATGCATTGGCTAAATGTTCAGTTTAATGGGGATCTTCATTTATAGCAGTTCTTGAGGCACATACCTCTCTAGATCAGAAGAAAAAGGATATGGAAAGGAAGACTTAGGGATTTCAATTTTTCCTTTCACTCATCCTTCTTCTATTAAATGCCACTTTGCCACTCTTCCAGTAATTTCTTAAAGCAAATTTTCTTCCTTTAAATAAGAAGCACAAATAGAAAATGTAGCAATGATTTAATTTATGTGTAATATAAGGTATGTCGTATGTGAACAAGACGCGGAACAGGTAGGTGAACAAGTGCCATAGTTCCTCTTCGTTGAAGAACATTCCTCTGAGTGAAAACAAAACATCGGCAGGATTTTTCAAAAAAGATTATTGTGAGATACCACCTGCAGTCACCCATGATCCAGATGATCTGAGATTTCTTCTTAAGGATCCTGCTATGTAGACCTAAGAAGAAAGAAATAAAAAGAAGGCTATCATGTTCAAGAATTACTGAACTTCATTCATTACTTGAAAAAGCTTAATTCAAGGTAACATGCAACAGAAGCACCCAGAGGAACTTTTTGTAGAAAAATTGGTACATTTCAAGGACACATTATATTGTCATAGAATTATAGAATGGTTTGGGTTGGAAGGGACCTTATAGACCATCTTCTTCCAAATCCCTTGCCATTGGCAGAGACACCTTTTGCTAGATCAAGTTGCTCAAAGCCCCATCCAACCTGGCTTTGAACACTACCGGGGATAGGGCTTCTACAACTTCTCTGGGCAACCTGTTCCGATGCCTCAGCACCCTTACAGGGAAGAATTTCTTCCCAATATCTAATCTAAATCTGCTCTCTTTCAGTTTAAAGACATTACCCCTTGTCCTGTTCCTACATCATGTCCATGTAAAAAGTCTCTCCTTTAGGTGCTGGAAGCTGCTATAAGGTCTCTGAGGAGCCTTCTCCAGGCTGAACAAGCCCAACTTCCTCAGTCTGTCTTCATAAGAGAAGTGCTCCAGCCCTCTAAACATCCTTGTACCGTTCCTCTGGATTCACTCAAGAAGGTCCATGTCCCTTTTATGTTGGCAGCAGCAGAGCTGAATGCAGTACTCCAAGTAGGTTCTCGTGAGAGTGGAGTAGAGGGGCAGGGTCACCTCCCTCGACCTGCTGTTCATGCTTCTTTTCATGCAGCCCAGCACATGGTTGGTTTTCTCGGCTGAAAGTACACACTGCTGACTCATTTTGAGCTTTTCATCAACCA